GCGATGAGCCGCAAGGAGGAGGGAGAAAATAATGCGTTTAGCAGAGGATGCGAGACTGCCGACCAAAGGGCCTCTTACGCGCTCATCGCTGAATGAATTAAAGTTCTCGGGGAGGAGGCCGGGGAAACCAGAGCGAGCGGCACAGAAAATGTGACAAGGAGGGAAGGAGCCAGGAGCCGTCAGGCGGGGACAAGAAGGACAGACGCCAGCGACCGGAGCCCGCGGCCCGGTGGCCCCGGGGGGGCGTGGGGGGTCCCGGCGGCGGCCGCTCCTGCCCCCGGGGCTCCGGCTGCTCCCGCCCGCCGCGGGGGCGGGAGCGCTTCGGCCCCGAGGAGGGGACCCAGCCCGCCCCCGGGGGATCCCCGCGGGGCCGGGGCGCTGCAGCCCAAGCTCCCCGGGCGGCGGCGGCAGGACGCGCACCCGGCCGGGGCAGGGCTGGGCTCGGCCGTCCCCGCTGGGCCCCGCGACCCCCCCGGCCCGGCTGCGGGCGCCCGGCGGCGGCCCGGGAAGCGGCCTGGAGAGCGGCGCTGGGAGCGATGCCCAGGGCTCACCTTCCCCTCCCCCCGGAGAAGCGCGCTTCAAAATGGTTTTGCAGGCGAGGCTGGCCAGGCTGCGCTCGGCGCAGGGCTTCCAAGAGCAGTGCCTGGGTTGGTTTCCGTATAGTCTTTGGCTTTTAATAGCTAGCTGAGGAAAAAAAGAAAGCATTATTGTTTTCTTTCTTTCCTTCTCTCATTGCCTATTCTAAATTTGACTCCAAAGTTTAAGCAGTTGAATTGGCTAATTCTGAATACAGTCTATTGAGAGACCAGACACAGCAGTATATCCCTGTATAGCAATAGATACAATGTGCTGAATTGGCAGTCTAATTATAAATGTGGCATTTGGACCTCCTTTCAGACCCAGTGCCACCTTACCTTATGAGGGAACTTCAACTACAGCAACTGTTCAAAACAAAATGCCATTACAGGATCAGCTTCACCCAACACTGGAACCAGCCAGGGGATTGTTTTACAAACAGCCTTTCTCACTTAACACAAGAATGTATTATAAGGAAAAGTTATGGATAGTGCAGAGTCTGAAGAAAACGCGTATGTAGTTTCTGCCAGGTGTCGAGCTACTTCAAACTGCAGCATACTCCAAATGACCTCATTATTTTCTTTTAAATGTACTCACTATAAATAATTATTTCTTAGTTTTACTAGAATGAGCTGCTAGGTACGCTTGGTGTTTATATTCTGAGAGTAGTGTGCATGTAACATCGTGAGCACAGAAACACGCGAAATATCCTGGCTCAGAACAAAAACCTGCCACAAGATCTTGCCAAAGAATCATGGGGTGCTGAAAAAAGTTTTTTAAAGAGTCTTTTCCAGGGAAATATTTGTATGTAATGGCAGGCTACATGCACATATCTCACATTCATTCTTATTATTTACTTTATGGTATTATAATGGCTTAATTAAGTGAGTGGGCACAAGCACGTCAATAAAACAAGTCAAGTCAAGTCGAAGTCTCAAAACAGGTTTCAAAATTGCTCCATTACACGAATACAGAAAGGGAAATTCGTTAATTTTTGGACTTCAAACTCTGTTTGAGGACTGGATAGAACTGTTCTTCTGTCCTCACGATCAGCTCTGAAGATAGAAATAGCAAAAATGTTAAAATGAGGGTAAAAGAAAGCAGTAGAAACAAAGTGCCGCCCGTGTGCCGAAGGCTATTTAATTTGCTTAATAAACATATACCTTATCTACAAACAGCAGGCGAAGATATATTACTTTATCACAGAAAGTTTCACCCTCTATGTTTTTGGGAAACACCCCTAGGACAGCACTAATCTGCCGTCCCCAGGCTCCCACCGGGCTGCCTTTCCCTGCGGGCCCTCCTCCCCCCCCCGCCACTCAGACACAACACTAATTGTCCTTTCACGGTGCCACTTTCACTCCTTCCCGTCCTTTCAAAACAACAAAACCGCAGCAAACCCCACGGTGAGACGGCCCGCAGGAAGCAGAGACAGCGCTCGGTTGGACAGGAGGGGTGGCTGTGAGTGACCTCCGGGCCCTGCCCGGGCTCGCAGCCCCGCGGGCTCGCTGCTCGGGGGCTCCCCGGCTCGGGGACACGCTCTGGCAGCTCAGCTGCCAATGCACGCGTGGAAGTACCTGCTCACATCCCGCCTATCTGCTCTCCCTCTCACGTATCTACACCCAGCCGCGACCCCGCCGCCGGTACACGCGTACATGCATTACACGAGCGGGCAGCGCCGGTGCCCGCTCCTCCCCGGAGCAGGGCAAGCCGCAGAGGCACACTCATTAGCTCCCACTGATGATTCCTTTCAGGATCATGAATGGAACAATTGTCAAAAACTGCGGGAAAAAAAACAAGCCCCGAGACTATTATATACAGACACAGCTTGTGTGCACGCATGTGACAGTTGCAGGCAACCCAGATTTGGTCATAAACTCTTCAGCATTATCCAAGATAAAACATCAAATTGCTTATACGGTTAAAGAGGCTTCTTATCCCCAATCAAAAAAATAAACAGCTTCGAAGGTAGTGAAACCCAGGAGAAGAACAAGCTCTTCACCAGACACACCTTGCCTCACTCGTATCCTGCAGCACCGCCTGTAAACAGCTGCGCTGGCTTGTTGCAACTGCCACTATTTTATTTTAAAAGAATAACAGTAATAATAGTAAGTGAAATACTTCCTGAAAACTTACTTTGCATTTAGTTTAGGCACTATTCTTTTTTTCAGCTCGCAAAGGAAGCCGTTTTGTCCAGTTTAGGTATTGTCTACTTATGGATCAGCCCCTGGCTAAGGGTTTATTTTAATTTATGGCTTATGCATTCTTTTAAGGTCGATTTGCATGACCTCCGGCAAAGAGCTAAGGCAGCAAGAAATCCCAAGTCGACTGTTGCCACAAAGCGGCACGCATCTCCCCTTCCCCAGGTGTAAACAGAGCTCTCTGATGATGGACTGCTCTATTCCCCCCTCCTCGTGTATCACAAATTAGGGTGCGATATCAATTTTAAAGTTTTCCGTATAACTTTATCCGAAGGCTCTGCTGGGAGAGATAAGGCGGCGGCGCAGCCCGGCGGCTCCTCGGGACAGCGCCGCGCCGTGGCCGCTCCCGGCATTGCCGCCGCCGCTCCCGCAGCTTTGTGTGCCTCCCCGCACTCGTCCCTGGCCAACTTCAAAGCACTCACCCCACCTCAAACTTAGCGGAGAACCTACAAGCACCACTAAAGTCCCTTCACCTTTCTCCATCCCGCGTCTTTTGGGGTTACCCGCCAGGAGGAACCCACGCGAGCACTTCGGAGCAATGACAGCAAGCGCTCCGCTCTCGAAGATTTATTTCGGATTTTATTTTTCCTTTCTTTCTCTCTTTCTCCCTCTCGTGTTAGTTCCTTACGTACAATATCTTCCCGCACCATGTGTTCGCCTGCCGTGGGTGATCTTAAAATACAACGTTGATCTGTCACTACATTTTAAAATAAACTCTACTCGGGAAGGATGAGAAAGTGTTGTGATTTCAAGGTACTGGGGTCCCTTAACGTCTCGGAAACCTCGGGATTCAAACAGCCCCCGGAAACACGCACGGGGACGAGACTATAACTACTTTTCCCTAAAGGGAAAAAAAAAGTAAAAAAACCCCACAACACCCTCGTGATATAAAAGTAAATAATCGTGCAGGGGGAGGCGGGGGGGAAGGGGTGAATTCAGCAATGTTAAAAGCTAAACAACAGATCTATCTCCGGACGCTGCTGCTTCACTCAATTGCAACTAATAACCCATTAAAGACAGCGCAGGGGGAACCGGATTCTCTCCTGCAAAGCGACATAAATCCAGCGAAAACCCATTAAACCACCGCCACCGCCACCAAGCCACGCAGCACTACACACCACAGCAAACAACAGGTATACAACACAATAGGGCTGGTTTTCCTGGTTACCTCCTCGGGATCCAGTGTGGCACAAAGCACTGGGAGAGCCTCCTTTTTTTTTTTTTGCAACGCGCTTCGGTAATTTTCATTAAAAAAAAAAAAAAAAAAGGAAGGTGAAGGGGGGAGGGAGAGAGGGAAGAGGAATAAATGGGTAGTAATACGGTAAAATAAAATAAAATAAATGAACTAGAGTCTGCTGGTGTTTCTCCGGGCCATGGATGTGCAGGATCCCGATCGTTAGAAGTTTGCGGATGGGTTGCCTGGAGATTTGGTTACAATCAGGTTCATTTTTTTTTTCCTCCTGAAACAAGTGAAGGCGATGGTTACTGCTGTCAATCTTGGCAATCAATGTGAGCGGCCATGTCGTAAGTATTCAAAGCATTTCCCGTCGTGCAACATCAGAAAGTGAGTGGCCAGGGCATTGATCTGAGGAAGGCAAAAGGAGGCAGGGCTCCCCCGCCCAGACAGCACAGGCAAGATGAGACAACACAGGGAGAGAGAGGAGGGAGAGGGGAAGGGAGAGAGAGAGAGGCTGGGAGCGAGCAGGGAGAACAACAACTGCGGAGAAAGTGAGCACAAAACAGAAAGTGAAATCGGCGCGGGCTGCCAGCCGCATCCCCGCGCAGCTATCACCACTCACAGGGCCATTAGACACATGAAACCCTACACCGCTCTGCTCTCGCTAATGACCACTGATTGCCCGGAGTGGTGAGGAAAGGTACTAGAAAGTTACCGGGGAGGGGGTGCGAGGGCGGGGCGGGGGCCGGAAAAGGAGGAGGGGGAGCGGGGGGGTCCCAGGGGAGCCGGTTCGCGGGGCCGGGGCGGCGCGGGGGGGGGGGGGGGCGGCGTGTGACACGGGGCCGGCCCGCCCTCCTCCCTCCCGCCCCCGCACCGCACCGGGTGCGTGGGGAGGCACACGCGAGAAGAGTCCTGCCGGGCTCCCGCTCACGGGTTACAATAAAAAAAAATAATTAAAAAAAAAAAGCTGCAGAAAGACGATGTGCAGGAGGAGGGAAGGACTGGCGGGGTGTGGAGGGAGCGGGGACGAGAGGGAAGCACTCAGCAAGCGCTTACTGACAGCTGATAAATGGGACTCTGAAGAGCCCGATCCCGCAGCCCGACCCGGAGTGGAAAAAACAGATGAAATGGAAAGTACAAATTGCTCTAGAGATGGGAGTCCAGCTACAGGGAATCCGGGGGAGAGGAGGCAGGAGAAGGCACTCAAAGTCCACAAACTATTTAGTGATGCATTCAGCAGAAAGGTAAAACGTGAGTGCAGTGAAAAGGGAAAGACAGGTATGGCCGGAGAGGAAAAACTGATTTAGGACGGACTCGAGCTGAAGTTGGGATTCTCGTGGCGACGACGAGAAATTTTAGCAGCGGCACTATATAAATATCCCTCTCTCTGCCTACCAAAAGGCAACAGATAGGGACTGGAATATCAGCTTGAATACCAATTTAGGAACTCACGCTCCTTTGGAAGTGCTAATTGGGGGGGGGGGGGGGATCTGGGAAAAAGAAGGGAAAACTGTAAGGAGCTGAGGAGAAAATCAACCAGTGGCAGAGTACTGCAAACCCAAGAAAGTCTATCTGCTGTATTTTTGCATTCCAAAGGTAAACATGAAAGAGTCTTTCAAACTGTCAGGGGCCCGCAGATCAGGTGGGCAAACAGCGCTACAGAGCTAACGTCTCCCTCTTTTGATATTATTCACACCTAGGCTAAACTGTTGTTAAGATGGGAGTGCGGAAAGCAACCTCAAGCCCACAAAATGAGAGAGAGAGAGAAGTTGTTGATTCATCTCTGTATTTTTGGCACTTTCTCCCCGTTTTCCAGAAGGCGCCTGGAACAGTTAGTAACAGACAAACTTTTTAATTTTAAAATAGCTTCATAACTTATAGAGGCCAAAAAGACGAAGAGAAATCCTGATTTCGCTTTCCTCCTCTCTCAAGTAGAAATTTGTGGACTATGTTAGACGCAGAAGCACACTCAGCCCCACTGTGAATGAACCTTGCTTCATAAGGACGTGATTAAAATTGAGCATTAACGGGATGGCACAGGACAGACCTGACTTGGCTCTATTTCATTTTGTTAACAAGGTGTAAAACTCGACACACTACTGGAGTCATGCACGTTGCATCCTCTACCTTTGCTATCCGAGGTGCTATTGTCCCTCTCGAGTAGAGTCCAGGGAAAATGAGTTGTAAGTCAGAACCTCTTGGAATAATGGACCTATTTTATACAGTATTTTGGGGAATTACACTATAATAAAAGGAATAACCAAGTGCTATTCAGCAAGTAGCAAACTTCTTGAAATAGAACTTTACAATTATCTAGTAAAGCTTTATCATCAAATTAACTGGATGAGGACATAGTAACTCATTTCCTTTCATTCTTTCAATTTTAATAAAAGAAATTTTAAAAATGACATTCAGAGATGGGGGAAATTGTATGACTGTAAATACTGAGTTTGTATTCACCTGCGTTTGGCTAATTCAAAATATGCACCTTGCTACAGTTATGTGGTGTATAGATTTAACAGCAGTAAATAGCTGCCTTTCCAGATATTGCTATGTCCTTTTAAATCTTTAATTATAAGAATTTCCGTAATTGGTCACTAACGCTTTCCTTGTAACACATTTAAACCTGCTTCAAGTAAAAGAAACACCTTGACTTCTTTTATAACTAAAGCTTTGGAGCGCAAAACAAAAAAAAAAAAAGGTCTGTAAGAAAAGAGATGTAAATCAGAAGACAAGGACGAACTATCCTGCCTCAGTTTGCAACTCCAGCAATTTGTCAGTGGAAGTTTTTTTCTTTCAAGAAACAAACAGAAAGGGAAAAAAATCAACTACTCTTCAAATGCCTCAAAGGTAACGTTCTCCTTATTAAATACGAAGCGGGAATGGGACAAGAGATGATTAAGGCATCATATAAATCTAACCGCCCACCTAGCTCCAAATCGGGGCAGCATCCCACTGCATTCCCGAAAATCCAGTGCAAGGAATGACACTGGGCTGGGGCAGGACACCGCAGGGATGCGGCCACGCTCCCAGGCGGAGCGCAAGCAACGCTCTCCAGCTTGTTGCTTCCCCTGTGTGATCAATTAAGTTACAGATGTAACTCACAGTGTCGGAGAGCGACAACTTCTCGGCACCAGGAAAAGATGATTCCTTGGGCATTGTATGCAAATGTGCGTGTGTGTGTGTGTGCGCGCTGCACGGGGATAATTGTGATTCCCTCTTTGTTTGCATAAGTGAACACCCGCCGTGTAGATCCGTATACACGTGCCGAGAAACAAGAAAACGCTTTTACTTTTAGTTACCCCACGTTTAGAAACCGCGTTTGAAATTACTTCCCTTGCTTTGGCTTCATTAAGGCTAAATCCAGGCAGCGCAGGCAGATGTTGAGGAAGGATGCTGACCTGCTGGGGGTCCCTGCAGAGGGAAGGGACCGGAGGCGCTCAGATCACGTCGGGACACTTACCTGTTCACAGCTGTCATTGCATTTTGTGCCGTCTGTCTCATTAAACACGTTAAAGTAAAGCAATATTCAACAAGCAAACCAACCTGTCTGTGTGCTAAGTTGTACGTACCGCATCTTTAACATGAGGAGCAAACCTGCAACTCTTGTAGAGTTGGCGGAAGGGTCTCAGAAGTTTTTGATTCAAAGGGCAAGAAATGCCACTTTAAAAGTCATTCACCCACTTCTAAACTCCCCTCTCTCCCCAGTTAATGCCGGACAATTAAGAGGCATCTTTATAAATCCCCTCTGCGGACACTCTCCGACAATGAAGGCTTTTTATAGGCTTGCTAAAGATGTTCAGAGAAACTTTTGCAAAATAATCAAGAGCATCTGAGAGAAAGCTAAAGGAAAGGAAGTTAAAGCCTGATCATCCGATTGGGAGAAAGTTTTGTTAGACTAGATAGAAGCATATTACTGCACGTTTCTTCAAAAGCAAACCCATCAGCTGATACGAGTTCCCCTAGAACAAGAACCTCTGGCGATCTCCTCAAAATTTAGGGGACGTTTGTATTTTGTAACACTCAAAGCTAAAGATCTGACTGAAAACAAAAACTCTGAATTCCTTACAGCGTCATCTGCCAACAAAATGTATTGTCTTGGCAGAAAGAGGATCAAGGAGATTTTAATTTAATTTTAAACTGTGCATCATCTTGACAGTGAAGGAAAAAGCCGCAGCAACAATCTCCCCACTCCACCCCCCTCCCCGTTCAAGAAAAAAAAAAAAGGAGGGGGGGGGAGAGAACTGGAAAAACCACATAAACTTTTACAAAGAAAATAAAAGCAAGTTCGACATGAAAACCCCTTCCTGTCTCGGAAAGTTCATTTTAAAGGTCCCCTCTGTAAATCTAAAGTGCAAACACCAGGCTAAGGTAGTGAGTGGCTGGAATTTGCATGCTGATAAGAGAAGGCTGTTGTACTTACAGTGACAGAGGGCAGGCTGCGGAAGAAAAGCTGTTTGTGTTAGCCTGAGAGTCACCCAGGGCTGCAATGAGAGGAGAAGAGAGGAGTGGGAGTGCCAAGCTGGATACACCTTCACCGCATCTCATCACATCTGCCAGCCTCTCTCTCCCTCTCTCTTTCATTTCCACATTCCCTTTGTTCCTGAAAAAAAAATCTACACGTCACATCAGTCCCCAGATGCAGTCTACACCAAAGAAAAAAAATGAATAATTCAATCAAACTGTGCATAGTCTCTAAGGCAATAAATCTATTGCACTTAAAGAAACGAAGGGTAATTACCGCTATAGAATTAGAATAAGGCCAGAGCGCGCAGGGATCCCAGGGTCTGTAAACTCCACGGTCAAATAAAGTTTCATTTATTTAATCCTTTGACATCCCCAATGTAAACTAAAGGGGAGGATCAGAACTTATTCCGGTTGGGTTTGAGAACGCCTGAAGTGAATGTTATAAAAGGAGAGCGCCCGTGATCTGTGACAAACACAATGCAAGGGAGTAGAAGTGTTTCACTGCATCACCTCCAGGGTCCGTTCCCCCCTCCCTAATGAAGAGCAGACCACACTCCCACTTCCACCGGCTTCTGCTGCTCGCTGCAAGTGCAGCGGGGATCACTGGCAGCCAGCAGCCGCCTTACCTGCTCCCGAGCGCCAGCACAGCCTGAGAAAAACTCAGGGGAAACGGCAATTTTGTTCCACACTCTGGCGGAGAGGAGCCATGGGGGATTTGCACCGGCACGGATTGACTCGGAACGCTGCCCCTGACTCGTGGATGTGTGCGGGGCTGAGGCTGGGGACTGCCCGCCGGGGGCGGGGGGAGCCCGCCGGGAGCGGAGCCCGGCGGGGCGGGCGGCGCTGCCGGAGCGCCGTGACAGACCGGCCGGGGCGGGATGGAGGGAGCCGCGCGTCTCCCGCTCCTGCCGCTAAAGCAGCTCCCTCGACTCGGAGGTAAGATGACTCTACATTGTGTTTGTCCTCCCCGGGTAACCCAGGTCCCAGGGGCACGCTGCTGTGCTAACGAGGGCGGTGGCTCGGGGCTGTGGCTCAGATCCTTGTACCCAAACCGGGCTGGAGCTTAACGCTGGCAATCTGCTGCTTTACCCTCTCAATCGCATTCTTTGCAAACTTCTCCTGGGGGGCTGGGGGAGGAGAGAGACGTGGAGGGGGAGGGGGAAACCCTAGGTGAGACCGCGCTCTTCAGATGCCGCAGCCCCTCGCTCCGATCCAGCTGGGCTCTGCGCCGGCCGGGCAGGCTGAAACACCTTCCTCCGGAGCAGAGCATCGCGCACCTCCCCGTCCCTGCCCCGCCGTAGCGGGCGGTTTGATTTATCCAAAAACATTAACGGGACTGTTATTCTGGCGAAGGTGAAGCGGGGCGCGCTCCCGGCTCCCCGCGCCCGGGCCTGTGCGCGGGGTTAACGCGCCACCGTGAGGCGGCCGCGGGCCCCGCACCGAGCGCCCGCCGCGCTCCCGGAGCGCTCCCGCAGCCGAGCACAGGCGGGAGCGGAGACCCCGCCGCGGGGAGCCGGCAGTCCCCGGGACCCCGGGGCCAGCGCACACCGCTCCCTCCCGCCCGCTGTCACGGGCCGGGGAAAGACGGGGAGACTTTAAGGAGATGGAAAGACACAAAGGGAAACCCCGACACCGGCGTTTTCCTAAGCCACCTGCCCCGGGACTCTCTCCCTCCTTCGCCTGTCTCACTCATCCTCCCCGGAGGTTTTTGGGGTGAGCAGGGCAAAGCGCACCCCGGCCCGCTCCTGCCGCCGGCATCGCTCACGGTGACTCCCCTCCGACACCCCTGCTGGAAGGCAGCGTCCTCTCGGAGCATGTGCCAGGGAGCTCTCCTGTCTCCTCTACCCATCTTATGCCTCGTTCCCCTGCCAAAATCAGGCCAGTTGCACTGCCCGGGCTTTCCTAGAAGGTTTTGCTTCTCCAGTCATTTCAGTGGTTTCAAGTCTGAGGCTGGGGGTTTAATTTTGTTTTTTGGTTTTTTTTGTTTGTTTGGGTTTTTTTTTTTGATGGAGGGGGAAAGGGAAAAAAAAAAAAGGAAAGAAAAAAAAGACGAGGCTGTTACAACAGTACCTGGGGTGACACCGCTAAAAGTTGTGGACAAGGCTCAGCACGATGAGTTTCTTAGGCACGAAAGCTATGGGAATGGATCTACTTTAGCAGACAGATCCTGTTATATAGGGGCACAACACATCACAACATAGTGCAGTTCTTAACTCTGCTCCAACAAAAAGCCTTAACCCGGAAGGGAGGGGGATCCTCTAATGGATCTTTTAGCAGCTGGTGGGATGGATGCTCTGCCCCAGCCACCGGAAAACATCCATCATGTCAGTGCATCCTGGCACCCAGAAAAGCATTAACTGCACCGGCAAGGTTGAAGTCACCTAACTCTTAGCTACAAGTTGCACTGGCCAAGTAAGCTCCACAAATGAATCACGAGAACGCTAATAACAAGCTCAAAAAATGGCAATTACACTCAGCTGAGATTAGAAATCACATTAAGATTGGATCCCTGATGCTTTGTAGGTATAGAGTAAAAGTGGAAAAACAGTAGCATGACTGTGGAAGGCGCAAACATTTCCATTGAAATGCATCTGCTCCTCCTATTCTGGATATTTAACCTAACAGCTGGATTTACCTATTTCTCATCTTATTAATTTTTCTACTCCCATCTCTGTACAACAGGATGAACATAAAACACCACCAACATATAAAAAAAGGAGCTCAAGATTAACAGCGATTTTAAATGTACTTTTTCAGAAGCAACCCAAAGCCATGCAAGAGGTGTTTAAAGCAATCATCACAGTCATACTAAGGCACCTCTTCCTTGAGCATACACCTGTGTGGCCTCACATATTATACTGATATTCCCAGCTTCAGCCAGGAATAGCAGAGCTTGTCTTGTCAATGAGGAAGGAGAAGAAGATACACTGGCATAGCTATACCTGCACACAGAGTTGAGGAGCTGGGAGGGGATATGTCCTAGAGGACCCTCTTGCAGCCCGCAGTAATCCTATTTTATACAGCCCAGAGTAAGCTGTAGGTCAGTGGTATAAACACGGAAGTTACAGAATATTTCCCCCTAGAACCTCAATCACAGAAAAACCTTTGCTAAACATGATGACTGCAACCCCCTATGAATTACTGCGAGGGTTTATCAGCACACCACAGTGCTTTTATTTCTTCACTAGCAATGCCCCGTTCTGACAGCACATGTTAGAATTCCACAGAGCACCTATAGGCTTTTTATTGTGACACTGTATTTATTCCATCAGTTTATTTTGTTTCATACCCCCTCCAAAAAAAAAAAAAACCACCAAAAAACTCCAACAGCAAAGCACAATTTTCAACGTCCCTGACTGAACTATTGTGCTACGAACAAGACACTGTTTAAAAAACAAGTAAACAAACAAAATCCAAACAAAAATATATTTTAAAAAAATCCAACCCTGGAGGCTAGAATAAATAAACAAAGCTGTCTTTGACCTGAGGACTGGCCCACACTGCAAATAAATGCATTGCCACTAAGCCACATATACATGCCACATGAACAGAAATAAAAGGAATCCTCGAGATAGGCCAATGATTTTGTATTTTATATTACTATCACTGTGCACTTATAAATTGCATTGGTTTCAAGATGTTCCTGTGAATTTGTGATAATATGGCCTAATCTTTTAGGCTTCTGTCACTGTCAGTTTTCACCCAGAAGCTCAAGTCCTGTGCATGTAAACTGCATGCTTCTTATTAAGAGAAACAAAATGATGATGCCAGAAAGGATTGACAGTTTCGAAAACATCAAGACAAAAGGTTAAAATGTCTGCAGAGAAATTTTGGGGTACAAAGTTCTTTCAGACTGTCCAGTTTTACTTGGAGCTTATAAATATCATGGCATGTCGCATGGGTAGGTATGGCTGTCTCCTCCCTCCTTTCCTCTTAGGGCACTTTACATTTTCTAACCCAAACATGCAGTAGGAACTTCTTGCAACAAAGTTGACTAAGAAGCAAATCACTGTATAAATCTTTCAAAACATGTTTAAATATAGCTTACTAAACCGGGAATATTGGGTA